GATAGATCTGGGGTGTGTTTCCCAAAAGCATCGTTAGCGAACTGTGTTTGGTAAATTACACTGAACTATAACGATCAACATTAAAGTTACTTGCGACCATAGTTGCTTTGGAAAACGAGCCCTGTCAATTTTGACAGCAATTATTTTGTGCCGATCGCTTCTCCATAAAGAGGATTATCAGTGAAGTAATCACTTAAAGGGGTCATATGATGTTGCTAAAAAGAACATTATTTTGTAATTTCTAATGAAATGTGTTTATGCGGTTTAAGGTTAAAAAAACACATTATTTTCCACATAATGTACATTATTGTTTCTCCTCTATGCCCCGCCTTTCTGAAACGCGTCAATTTTTACAAAGTGGCTTTAGTGAGGAACGGCCGGCGGATTCGACGAAGGAGCGTCCGGCGGGCTTGCGGCAACCACATGTGACGACCCCGGGCTGGACTCCGCTTCGTCCACGGTGAAAGCCGATTCGGCGATCCACAGCGCAAAGTTGATGTATTTCCTCAGCGACCAGCACGGATCATCTCTAGGCATGACGAAGCAGATATCGTCCTTTTTTGGAAGACCAAATAAAGTAGTTTCGCTTTCACAACGAAGCACACAGCACCTTCACGACATGGCGGCGGCAACAACAATACTACAGCGAGAATAAAAGTTATGCCTTCTTTCTTTGCGTGAACATTTGGGCGGCATTATGCAAATCTTCCCACATCGTGACGTAGACATGTGGGGGCGTGTTCGAACGAGCCGTTTTAGGTAGGCATGATTAACTCTTAACTTTTATAAAGAATATCTGTTTGGATTTGAGACTTCAGTCTTTGCAACTTTACAGATCTTCTTTATGCACCAAGAGCTTGTAACACTTCAAAGAGAAAGGAAAAATTGAAATCGCATCAAATGACCCCTATAAAGTTTGGTCCATTCATTAAACAAATCTATTGTATAACTTGGAGAACTGCCAGTTGTTTTGGCTACTTTTATGATATGTTTAGTGCGTTTGGATTCGTTTTGAAGCTTTCGAATGCAGCATGAAACAGCACAGAATCCCATTCATTGTATTCAAATTGAATTTATATTGATTGGTAGATTTAAATGACACAACATTTTTTTGTTGTTCATAGAAATGCTGTGGAAAACCTGTTGTTAACAATAAAATGCAAGGAAAAAGCAAATCTTATGACTGGTAGATGTCACTTTTATTTAGAGAAAACATAAAAACAAGACATTAATATGTTCCTTTGTGTATAGCTTAAGTATTTCAAAGTATTCTAAAGTATTTAGATTAAGTTACTAAACCTGAGTAATCTAACGAAATACATTACTGATTACTTTTTAAAGCGTGTATTTTGTAATCTGTAGTGAAATACATTTTAAAAGTAACCTGGCAACAGCAACTGTGGTCACTGAGTCAATCACCACACATGCTGTTTAGACATTTCCATGATAGACAGGAAGTCAAGATGCTCTGAGCAGATCTGTTGAACAATCACAATTCAGTGGTTGTGGTTTTTTTTTTTTTTTTTTGCTCAAGTATGTTGGGCTGATCTAACACTGAAGGCACAGAGGAAATTGCTTTCTTTGCAAAAACCCAGCGCATGACTGAAACCACTAAAATACATTGGGTTTATAAAGCCAGTCTACTGTCACTTTTTATTAATATGGTAGCTCTGTATAGAAGAAAGCCATGTTATGGTTTATGATAAATGTGTTGTCTTTAAATGTGTTTTGTGATGGATTTTAGAATCAGTGTGACTTTCTTAATGTCAATGCATGGTACTGCACCTAAACAAAATCTTACTAAAAGCTTTTTTTTTTTTCAGATATCAACCTCACATTTGGAACACACCTTATTTAGATTTTTTTAAGTGTAAAACGTGTTTTAGAAAATATATTTCATATGACATTTGAAAATAGTATTTTTGTGCATTTTTCATATCAGTAAACTTAAACTCCATTTTTTATTTCACTTTTTTAACCTTTTACATTTAAAGGGGTCATATGATGCTGCTAAAAAGAACATTATTTTGTGTATTTGTTGTAATGAAATGTGTTTATGCGGTTTAAAGTAAAAAAACACATTATTTTCCACATACTGTACATTATTGTTTCTCCTCTATGCCCCACCTTTTTTTATATAACGCGTAGATTTTTTCAAAACTCATCGGTCTGAAAAAGTGAGGTGTGCTGTGATTGGACAGCTGTCCAGTGCATTGTGATTGGCCGAATACCTCAAGCGTGAGATGGAAATATTATATAATATTATGCTCCTATGGAGACAGATCAGCCTCAAAAATAACACATTTGCAAAACAAAATTCATAAATGGACAGCACAATTTACATTTACAAAATCCGATTCTTAAATTCAAAACACAATTCATAAATACGCAAGTAAAAGCATAAATATTTCCCCAAATGCTCACACAAATGCATCTTACCTAAATAAATTTAAAATGTTTACACAAATATGTATATATCAAGTTCTTGAATTAATTTCCATCACACATTTATGAATGATGTTACATGTATTTATGGATCGTTGAATCTGCATTTGCAAATCGTCACATGTGTGGACTGCTTTGAATTTGTGTGCGGTATTTTTGAGACCTTCCTGGCAGGTTAAGATTCATAAATATCTTTTTTTGGAGGATGTTCCGTTCAGCCAATCGCGGTGAGCTTTTAATCCACCAATCAAAACGCTCTTTACTGAACAGACTCAAGAAGCTCAACACTGCGCTTGTACTGTGCAGTGTTCCATGATCGGATCCTTGATGTAAAGACATTTTAGTGGGTACTCTTTTTTTTTTTTAGCACCTGATTACAATTTCTACAAAATCACATTATGATTTATATCGTTCGCACAAAATACAGCTACCTGGTTCGCCTGCTGTCTTATACACCAAAGTTGCACATACCCTGTTTATTCAGATCCTGTTTATTCAATCTGTAATGTTATCAAATAAGTGTTCAATGTCCAGATATTTCATTTAATAACAATAATTATGTAATGTGTTCTGTTGTTGTTGTTAGTAGTAGTAGTATCAGGTTCGCAGTAACTTTTGATCAGGCATTAAAAACAGCTATCACCACCGAAGGGAGATTTCGAACACACACAAGCGAAGAGATTCAGCATGGAGGATGAAAACCACACTCAACGAGTGAGTAAAGACGTTTTTTTATCTGATGGCATTTTCTTACGAATAAAGGTTATTTTAGTTAATTAAGTGTGTAGTGTTACAATGTTGTTAGTCCATGCCAGCTTTCTTATATTATAACTGGTGTTTGTAAGAACACTTTAGTAATCACAGGATGAATGGGCGATAAACAATCAGTAAAACAACGATTTCGATGCTAAACTATTGCATAATTTTAAATACGATTTGTAGTCAGTGGGTTCTAAAGTTACCATTGTGACCAGCTATAATCATAAGAAAATGCCATCAGATAAAAAAACAACTTTACTCACAGAGTGTGGTTTTCATCCTCCATGCTGAAATCTCTTCGCTGTGTGTGTGTTCGAAATCTCCCTTTGGTGCTGATAGCTGTTTTTAATGCCTGATCAAAAGTTACTGCGAACCTGATACTACTACTACTAACAACAACAACAGAACACATTACATAATTGTTGTTATTAAATGAAATATCTGGACATTTAACACTTATTTGATAACATTACAGATTGATCTGAATAAACAGGGTATGTGCAACTTTGGTGTATAAGACAGCAGGCTAACCAGGTAGCTGTATTT